ATGAAGATCAAAGAGCACAGCCTTTGGTATGGATTACATCTCAGTGTCAAGGAAACAAAAATCCTTACCATTGGACCAAATAAACAACATTCTTATCAACGTAGAAAAGATCAAAGTTGTCAAGGACTTCATTTTTCTTGAGGCTGTAAATCTTTACAGGAGCAGAAAGCCTCATCTTTCTCCCGTAGAACAGCTGGTAGTTTCAAACTGCTGACCCTAAGGTTAACAGCCCGAATCGTAAGCACTACACTACCAGAGTTCCTGTACCTCCGCCAAACGACAAACAGGAGATACTAGTGCTTTTATCCCACATTTATCTGGCTGGAACACATCTCATAGTCAGACAATTCCTGCTGTTTGACTGCACATGTGTTGTCACCACCTACTGAGATTCCAATTCTTGGACACACAGAAGGCCTAGCCTGTCTGTTTGGGTAGCACAACCTCAGAGGATACAGATATGTCCTGCCCTGACCTCTAGAGGACACACTACTGCAAGCACTAACCTAGTTCTTTCAGTCTTAGGTTAGAAAAGGCCAGCTCACTAATGTCTACGATACCAATCTCTATGCATTCCATTTCATAATTGATGACTTCCAATTTTCCTAGATTCATTCATACTTTGTACATTCCAAGTCTCTATTATCAATGGATGGCTGTGGCTTTTTCTTCTCATTTTGAGTTGTTCCCCATTAGCAACTGAAAGTCCTAAAAGTTTTACTCCCTTTGTGTCAAAAGCTTTACTGTAACCCAACTTTACTTTGAGGAGCTGGTTTTTCTATAGTTGTATTTTGAGTGCCTTCCAATTTTAGGGGCTCATCTTCTGGCATTATATCTGACAATATTCTCGTACTAATCATCATGTTTCAATATTCAACAATCTGGTGTTATTTGACAGTGTTCTACTGCTATTCATAAGGTTTTCAGTGGCTAAACATTTATGTAGCAGTCTGCTTTTCCTTCCTTCTTCAAAGTTTTAGTCTAGATGCTCAGCTGAAACCTGTCAAACATGGGTGACCCTACTGATATTTAAAATACCACTGGCATAGCTCCCAGCACCACAGCAACACATAGTATGACAAACTGACAGACGAGTGGTGGTATTAACATTTGTATAAATGATATTTATATTACTTTAGACCTAGTATATAGATATTTTAGCTATTATATTTAATATTTTTAAATAAATCTTAAGATATTAATGTGCCTTTTTAAAAATAATGAAGCCAACAGTAAATGTTTATATAGCAAAATTTTATTTTAACTTTATTTTGAATTTTAAATTTCCATTAATATGCCATACTTTATTTACAAAAGTTGTTATTGTCATGTGTTGTTGAGTTGGTTCAGACTCATAATGACCCTGTATGGGTTTTTGAGGACCTGCTAGTGGCTTTGAAACACTGTTCTTGAGGTTAGCAGTCAAATGTTATTCTACAGTGTACATGAGGACTCCATTTTAGTTAATTGTTGTTGTTAAGTGCTGTCAAGCCAATTTTGACTCATAGCAACCCTGTATAGGGTTTCGGAGGAGTAGCTGGTGAGCTTGAACTACAAACCTTGCATGCAGTTCAGCACATTAATCCACAGTGCTACATATGTTGTTGTTAAGTGCCGTCGAGTCAATTCCGACCCATAGCAACCCTGTATATGGTTTCCAAGGAGAAGCTGGTGAGCTGGAACCACTGACCTTGTAGTTCAAAAGGCTTTGCAGTCTTGCGCATTAACCAAATACTCACTTAAATACTACTTTATAATGTGCAATTTACACAGTGATAATAAAGGAGTCCTGGTGTGGCACTGTAGGATAAGCACAAGACCACAAGGTCAGTTTGAATGACAAGGTCGATGGTTCAAACTCACTAGTCACTCCTCAGAAACTCTACACTGGGTTATTATGAGTTGGAACCGATTCGGTGGCACTTAACAACAAAAACGATGATAAAAAAATTCCAGGTTTTAGAATTTGTTTGTGTTTATTTTCTATATTTATATCATATTACATAAGCTTTACGATAATTTTATGATAGAGAAACCCTATGACAGTAAGACAAATTGTTTCAATGTCAAGCAGCTTACTTCAGCGATAGAAGAAATACTTTTCAGGTAAGTGCTAAGTACTTATTTATAATAAGGTTAAGTTACTTTCCCCTTCTTAAAATAGTAAATGGAAGGAAGATTTTCCTTCATATACAATTTACAAAATTAAACGGATCATAGAATTCTTTCATTTTCTGAAATGGAAATAGGTACCTTCTCAGGCTCACTGATTCACTTATAGAAATCTCCTGACACAATATTTAAATAAAAACGATAAAAAGCCTTTAACTATGAAGGTCAATAAAAATACATTTTAATTATTCTACATATTCATATTTACATTAGAAATGCTTGTAATTGTCCGAAGGGCACATTTTGCAAGCCAGTCTCCTGCCCATAGGCACACAGCCTTTCTCAGTCCATGACTGAACTAGGAAGTGTAGCCAACATTGTTTTGCTTTTTCAATTTGGAGCTGTTTTTTGTTAGAGATATTCCTGCAGCTATGACATCCAGTGGAGTCCTGGTGTGGCACTGTGGGTTAATGCGCTGGACTGCAAGGTCGGTTTGAACCCCAAAGTTGGTGGTTCAACCTCACCAGTCACTCCTCAGAAACCCTACGGGGTTGCTAGGGGTTGGAACCAACTCGAAGGCAGTTAACAACAACATCCATTAAAATCAAGTATTAAGTGAAAAAACAGAAATGCTTGAAACTAAGTATTATACCTGTATCAGGAAGCACATTTTAAAATAAAAATTGCCAACCTTACCTTGTTTTTGAATTCCCCATTAAAAGCGAACTTGTTTTCTGGTTTTCCTTCTGGCACTTTATAAAGTCTAAACCATTTAAGTGTGGCTTCCAAGTAACCTGGTTTGTACTTCCTGACATCATCAATATCTATAATTGAAAAAAACAACAACAAACTTTTCATTAAAAACCAAGTCATTTAATTTAATGGCAGAATATTGGACTTAGCGAAGCAGAAAAAAATAGGTCTTGTCAAATGTTGCTAAGTACCAGTATAATTATTGATATGTATTGCATCACCTCTGGATTTCTGCTTTTCTCATATTAAAGACATTATTCTCATCATTCTATAAACATTTATTAAATAACTTCAGAAGTTGTTAAGTACTTCTTTTCCTCAAAGAGTTCAGGGATCTAGCTCAAAGGAACAAACAGACAACAAACTGTAGTAAAGTGAAATGAGGTTTCAATATAGATACAGACAAAGAAGGAAAAGTCACATAAGAGGAAGTTAAAGAAATCAGAAAACAACCTAAAAGTGAGATGCACATTTCCAAGCAGACAAGAGGGGAAAAGGCTGAATGTGTAGCACACAAAAAAGCAAGGAAGTATGTTTCAGAAAACACAAAACACAGCTAGTAATGTGTGGTTTGGGAATTAGCTTTACCAAGTGTCAGGTGTGTTTATTCCCAAATCATTTACACCAATTACATCTATTATTTTAACTCTTGTTGTTAGGTGCCATTGAGTCGATTCTGATTCACAGCGACCGTAAGCACAACAGAAGGGGACTTAAGATATGTCAGTCCATTTATCATTACAAAAAGAATTGCTATAAAATTAAATCACAATTGTCCCAGAGTCAGTGACATAGCCACAGAGGACTAGAGCGGAGAGTGGAGTGTCCAGCTGATAAGAAGAGACGGCATACGCATAAGAACACCCACACTTGCAGATAATACCAACTTGTCCTGGCTTTAATGACTGGATGATCAGAGCTCAACCAGAAGTAAAAAGAAGAGGGAAAAAAAAGTATTCTCATACAATTTGATGAACTTGACCTACAACTATGGAAGCAGTAGCTCAAAAGAGGGAACAAGTCCTAATAGCAAGAATCATTCCCACCTCCTCCACACACAGAGTAGACAGGAATGGGCAACTTGGACATTGGCTACCCAAAATGGGGAATGGGGGGCTACAAAGGCAAGAAGTGACTGGCTTACAAGCTTTCAAGAGGGAAGCAAGATCCAGAGGGCCTGGAGGAAGGTAGAATCTCCAGTGTGTAGTATTCAATCTGACTAGGCGGGGCTAATGCAATGAAATGCAGATGGGTCGCTTGTGATACAATAGTGAATAATTGTTATCAGGACTAATTGTGAGGGTTGGAAATGTAAAGGTAGACATTTTCTAGCAAGGAGGGGAGTGATTAACTTTTCAGTCTAGGATCGGAGGTCCCTAGGACCATCAAGGGAGAAGAGCAGAGAGCAGGACCCTACCCAGAGAAGCAGTGATGCCTGAAATGGAGCCAGAGATGATAATGTGGAGCGATGGAACAGCTGGAGACTTTAGATCCAGAGAGGGAGAGTGACTGTGTGCTGAAGACCTGGGGGGCACAGGGGAAGGATTGTAACCATGGCAATGAGACGATATACGATAGAATGAATGTAAAACCAATGTGTTCTCCCATGTAAACTATCACATAATTCACAATAAAACATTAAAAAAAATTAAATCACACTTATAAACTAAAATTAAATCAAACTTCAAAAAATACATTTATTTTGGCATGGGAGAAGTTTACAGAGCAATTATTTTCCAATTCAAAATTTGTTGTTGTTGTTAAGTGTCGTCAAGTCAGTTCCGACCCACAGCAGCCTTGTAGAAGGTTTCTAAGGAGCGACTGGTGAGCGTGAACCACCACCAATCTTGCAGTTCAAACCGACTTTGCAGTCTAGCGCATTAACCCATAGCGCCAATCAGTACTCCTTATACAAAACTTACACAAGTTATATTCAGACACTGGTTGCAATCCTGTCATTGTAACAACATTCTTCTTCCTTCCTTCCTGGGTTCTCCTTTTCAATTCTAATATCTTTCCTACCCATTTCTGCCTGTGAATTCTGTTTTTGGGCAAAGGTGACCCACTGCTCTTGAACGGTTGATTGTTCTGAGAAATACTTTCCTCAAATGTGTTACTGTTTATATTATACCTCTATCTATTGTTTGGCTCTTATCTAACAATAGGTTGTTGTTGTTAAGTGCAGTACAATTGTTTTGGGCTCATAGGGACCCTGTATAGGGTTTCCCAGGATCCACTGGTGAGTTTGAACTGCCAACTTTGCTGATGTGGATGGAGCAAAGCTTTCAGGACCTTTATTTGCTGCTAGAGCATTACTCAAAATTAGAACCACTGCAAACATTTATTAATAATCGGAATGCGGAATGTACAGAGTATGAATCAAGAAAAATTGGAAGTTGTCAAAAAGGAAATGGAGAGTATAATGACAGATACTCTAGGCATTGTTGTTATGTGACATCAAGTCAGTTCTGACACACAGCGACCCCATATATGGTTCCTGAGGAGTGACTGGTGAGCTTGCGGTTCAAAGAGTGAGCTAGTATTGACCGTTTTCAATCTCACATAATCATATGACTTACTCTGCTGGGAATAACAAATGTAAGAGGAATGATGTAGCAATCATTGTCAAAAAGAGCACCTAAAGTTCTATCCTGACGTACAATGCTGTCTGTGATAGGATAATATCCATATGCCCTGAAGGAAGTCCAGTTACTACCATCACTATTCAAATTTATGCACAAACTACTAAAGCCAATAATGAGGAAATTGAAGAATTCTACCAACTTCTTTAGTCTAAAATTGATCAAACATGCAATTACGATGCACTGATCATTACTGGTGATTAGAATGCAAAAGTTGAAACACAGAGGAAGACATCAGTGGCTAAAACGTATGGCCTCAGTGACAGAAATTATATTGTAGATCACATGATTCAATTTTACAAGATCACCGAATTATTAATTATAAATACCCTTTCTCAACAACAAAAATGGTAACCTTACACATAGACCTCACCAAATAGGATACACATCTTATAACAAGAATAAGAAAAGAGCTCAAGATTAGAAAGAAAAACAAATAAACACAAGTGTCTACAACTATATAAGAGGCATCAAAAAGTTTGTGGAGAGATAGAGCAGCTGCGGATCCAAGGACCAGGGACTAAGAAATGCTGTGTGCCAGCAGGCAGGAGGCTGGCTTGCAAAATGTGCCCTAAGGACATTTAAATGAATATATAGTTTTTATTTTATATGTGAATATCAAATATTTTTGCTATGTTGATTTGTGAAAAATCAGATGCAAAAGGAAAGCCACAGGGAGGAAGTAGGATAACTGTTGTTACAGGGACGGGATTGTAATCATGTATATGAAACAAAACTTATGATTGGTTGACAGTAAAGTTGATGATCTTGTCTGTTAACCTTCACTCAATTCACAATAAAAAGTTTTAAAAGTTTGTGGAAAAATGAAATTAGAAGACAACGGAATTTTCCTAAGAACTTTTTGAAGCCCCCTATGTAGATTACTTTGCAAATGAATGGGGAATAAATTTTAGATATGAGTGACCTGGATATCTTCTGATAAAATGGATTTTAGAAGAGCCTTGTGAGGAGGACAGGAGTGACCTATCTAGAAGAAGGGCAATGTAAGGGAAAAGTCAACAAGTACAAATAGTTGGAGGGATGACAGTTGAGTATGCATATAATGTGTGAGAAACAGTAAGATAGTACTGTGGTTGGAGCAAAAGAGAGGAAAAAGTGTTAGGAGACCAGATTAGAGGAACAGACACAGGTCAGTACATGGGACTCTAATGGTCACACACTAAGGACAACTGGACTTCCCTTTGAAAAGAGAAGCTATTGGAGGGATCTGAACAGAACAGAGAGCAAAAAGCTCTATCTGATGTGTGGGGAGCCAATGCTGTCAGGTACCCTTGAGCTACCTACACTTATATTGACCCCATGTAAGGCCGATCCTGTCTGAGCCCCTTATTGCTGCCACAGTGTCAATCCATCTTGTTGAGGGTCTTCCTCTTTTTTACTGACCCATCACTTTTCCAAATATGATGTCTTTCTCCAGAGACTGGTCCTTCCTGATAATATGGACAAAGAATGAGAGACAAGTTGTTGCCACCCTTGCTTTTAGGGAGCTTTCTAGCTGCACTTCTTCCAAGACAGATTTGTTTGTTCTTCTGGCAGTCCATGGTACTTTCAATAGTCTTCTACACCACTATAATTCAAATGCACCAATTCTTCCATGGTCTTCCTTATTCACTGTCCACTTTAACATGCATTTGAGGCATCTGAAAATATCATGGCTTGGTTAAGGTATATCTTAGTACTCAAAATGACACCTTTGATCATGAACACTTTAAAGAGGTCTGTTGCAGCAGATCTGTGTTATGCAACATGTAGTTTGATTTCTTGACTGCTGCTTCCATGAGTGCTGATTGTGGATCCAAGCAATAAATCTTTGATAACTTCAATCTTTTCTCCATTTATCATAATATTATTTATTTTACAAGTTGTGAGGATTTTGATTCCCTTCATACTGATGTGCAATCCATACTCAAGGCAGTAGTAGTGGATCTTCATCAGTAAGTCTTTTAAGCCTCTTCCCTTTTAGCAAGCAAGTTTGTGTCATTTGATACCACAAGTTGTTAATGAAGTCTTCCTTCAATCCAGATGTCATTTTTCTTTATCGTATAAATAATTATCTGCTCAGCATACAGACTAAGTATTATGAAAGGATATAAATTGGATGCATGCCTTCTCTGATTTTAAACCACTCTGTATTCCCTGGTTCTGCTAGAACAAATGTCTCTTGGTCTGTGTACCAGTACCTCATTAGCACAATTTAGGGTTCTGGAATACCCATTCTTCATAATGTTATCCATAGTTTGTCATGATCCACACAGTTGAGTGCTTCTGAATAAAGCACAAGTAAGCATTTTTCTGGTACTCTCTATTTCATCAAGATTTTTCTGACATCAGTATTGATGGCCCTCATTCCATGTCCTCTTTTGAATTCAAACTGAATTTATGCAATTATTTATAAATTAACTTCAGAA